CGCCCGCCCGCAGCCGGCCCAAAGGCCGGGAGGAAAGAGTCCGTTAGCGAGTGATCGCGCCGCTGAACAGTGAGTGTGTGCGTTCGCATCCATTTTGGGAAATAAGACCATTTGTGTGCTTCAGTACGTTGGGCTCTGTCAGCTGTGCACTTGGATTTTTCGTGTGGATTCTGAAAAGGTCCTAGGTGAGGATGGTGGATAAGCACCTCACTTACTTGGTCTCCGAACCTAACTTTAAGGACGCAGTGGGACTTCTTGCTTTATGCAGAACATACTCTTGAAATTCTGAAAAACACTTTTTTTCCTAGTAAATGAGTTACTTTTATGCTTTAGTAAACCCATAAAAATTAAAAATAAAAGCAGCCCGTTTAGGTCCTCCTTCTTTCAGGAATCCTTTTCTAGCCCTTCCCTCCCAGGCAGGACCCGAGGCCCCTCGTGTGACTTTCTGGGTTTTCCTGAGGTCTTGGTCCCCCAAGCTCCTCCTTTCCCCTGCCGGTCCTTGTTCAGTTCTTAAGTTTTCATCACCAGTCTTTTTATCTAAATGTCATTTCGAGATGGTCAGGTTCTTCGAGATGGGGTTCAAGCACCTAGCATGATACTTCGCATACAAAAGACCTGTTGCTAAATAGCTTTTACTATTAAGTACTGACTCTGATTGTGCTACAGTTTTGCCAACTGTGATCTCTTTGAAATTGTGAGGAAATTTGCTATCAAAGAGATTAAGAAACTTACAACACCATGCACTCGTAAGTAGCAAAACTAGTTTGTCTCATTCAAAATTCTCACTCATTTGTGCCATAGTGCCTTAGTGCTAAAAATAAATAGTTAAGTAAATGAAATGCTGGCTGGAAGTATTTATGGTACAACGCACACTGGACTGGTTTTGTGTTCATTGCCAGTGTGCTACTTGGAGCCTCCACCTGGATGGCAGTGTTGGTGTTAGGACTAACTGGGGGACTCCTTCCTTTGGATCCTCCTTCTAAGTTATTGTTTCTCATGGGTAAAGTTTAAATGTGCTAGTTTTGGCTTATCTGGGGGGAGTCAAACAGAAACTTAATCACACTTTGGTGTTTATCTTAAGTAGAGTATTTTGCATTTGCCTAATAACTTGTACTAGGTTGTTAGAGTCTGATTCCTTTTCATAAAGTATTGCAGTATAAAATACTTGGAGGAAAAAGCAGGTAAAGACTGCCTGTCTTAAGTAAGTATGCAGGCCTGAGGGATTTTTAGGTATGTATGTCTACCCGTGGAACCACAACCTAGGTCAGTAACACATCCAGAAGGAGAAATTTTGCTCATACAGCTCCTAACTAAAGTAGGCTGAGCACCTCTAATCAGAGAATCTAAAATCTGGGGCTGAGGATATAGCTCAGCAGCACAAGCACCTGCCTGGCAAGTGCAGGGTCCTGAGTTCAATTCCTGGTATCAACAGAAAAAAAAAAGAAAAAGGAAATCTAAAATCTGATGTGCTCCAAAGTGGAAAACTTTTTGAGCATCAAAATAACGCTACAAGTGGAAAGTTACAACTAGATCTCATATGAGGAGTTGCAGTTAAAACATAGGTGCTACAAACGTGTATGAGAGTACCTAGATAGATATAGATAGATGGATAGATGGATACATAGGAATGAATTTTGTGCTCAGTCTTGGGTCCCATCCCCAAGATACCTCATTATACATATGCAAACATTCCAAAATCCAAAACACTTTTGGCTCCAAGCATTTTAGATAAGTGAAAGTCAGTTTTCTTAATCATGACTTTCCTGTCTTATTTCTGTTTTTCTGTGTCTTTGCTTTAGTGTTTCTTACCTGAGCTGCTTTAAATGGATTAGTTAGTAGAAAAAGTAACTTAATATCTGTCACTTTTTTCTAAACAGTGACATGCTGATGCCTAATCACTAAAGAATTGAGGACAGTGATGGCGAACCTTTGAGAGCTTTCAGTGATGCACATAGCCAGCTGTGGCACGTAGATGTGCCATAGGTTCGCCACCACTGACTAGGCTGTGTGTGATAGGACACAGTGTGCTGGTGTCATTCCTGGCTTTGCATGGTGATGCTTTGATCTGATGGAGTGCTATTACAGGCTTTGTAGGCCTTTGACTAAAAATATATGTATTACGACCATGATACCTAAAAAAGGTCTGATGGAAGCACAAGAGCTGCAGGTACTTGATGTGTGTGCCTTGATGTGTTTGAAAGAAAAGGTACACCATGAAGCCATCAGATCATGGTACTTTTATGATTATATCAAAAGGTAAGAAGAGGCAGCGATTCTGACTGGCGTTCCCTTGTGTCTGCATTTATTTGAAGTTATATAATTGCAAGTCTACTTTTTGTTAATATTCATATCATGTCTAGTAACAAGGAAGACTTTCTTGAAAATGAGATATTTTTGTCAACCAAATCACTAGCAAAGTGCTCAGCTAGAACACAAGAAGTAAAGTAATCATTAAATATGAAGTTAGACTAACTTGTGGATGGGAGCAACCAAGTTCATAAGGCTTGGCTATCACACTGGGCCCTTAAAGTGCTAATTTCCTTTAGCTGTGTACTTGAACTCTGCAGTATAATTCATTTGTAAAAGACTTTCAACACCATAGGTGGTGGCACACACCTATAATTCTAGCACTCAGGAGGCTGAGGCAGGAGGATCACCTTGAGTTTGAGGCCCAGGCTGGGCTATGTAGTGAATTCAAGGCCAGCGTGGAATTTGTAGTGAGACCCAGTCTCCAAAAAAGCAAAAACAAATTTCAAAAGTTCTAAAAGGTTTGTGAATGGTAGTGCATTTGTTTTGGATTGGTTTTATGGTTGTCTTTAGGATAAAAAATGGAGGCCCTTCCTGTAGCTAAATACTGTTTAATATATTATTTATACTCACATTGATAAGCATTTATGTGTAATATTACCCTTGTAGTTAACATGGAAGCTGGGACGGTTATTTCCTGTGTTTGTATGTCACCATTACTTATAGATTTGATTGTAAATCCTGGATTAAAAGTTCAGCCTTCCATTTTGGCCTCATCCTTAAGGGAAATTGTATGGTGGATGTCTTGATCGAGTAGAACTGTCATAGTAATACCACATCCTGGGTGGTTCAACAACAGAAATTTTCTCACCGTTCTAGAGGTTCTAGGTGTCAAAATATTCCCTTTCTGCTGAGGGATCTTTCTGGCTCACCAATGGCCCCTTCTCCTGTGCCCTGTAGGGCCTGTCCTCGGTGGCGTGTGAACGGAGGACACGGTTTTTCAGCTCTTCTGCTTAGGAGGCACCCATCTGTTGGACTAGGGCCCCACCCTTATGGTCTCAATTATCTCTCTTGGTCCTGTCTACGTCCTGTCTAAATACAGTCACATTGGAGCTGGTAGATACAATTCAGTTTGTAAAAGTGGGCTTTCTAGAAACACAGCAGGACGGTGTCTTCCCTGAATGTAAGCAGCCTTAACATTTGTGATACTCCCTCATTCTGTGCCATATATGTTAGAAGAATAATGTGAGCTGTTTCTAACACCAGTAGTGTAGCTTCTGCGTGAGATTCTGAGAGCTCCCTAATGCAGAGCTGTTTTGTTGAATCTGTCTGCATTTCTGTGCGGTGTGATGTCGGTGTCATACGCTTCCAGGGTAATACCTGTCACTTTGAGAGTGATGTATTAAGCTGTAATCTAGAAAATAGCTTTTAAAAAGCTGAGAGAAGATGTTCACATTCTCAGAGGGCATGATGTGGAACATAGGTGGCATGCCATTCACTGAGGTTTTAAAATCTGTGATGGGTAGGATAATTATTGATCTTTCAGACATCCCTCCAGGATTATTAAAAAACTACTGAGTCAAACCTAGCCTTTGTAAATCTCACCAGCATGCCTTAAGGGAGCGATCAAGTGATCCATAGCAATTCTGAAATCAGGTCACCATGGGGAAGCAAAATGTTTGTTGAGTAGGCCTTGATTCTACCTTTTTGTTCATTGTTTTAAGAGGCACAGTTTCTACCCTCTGAGGATTCTTTTTTCCTTCTTAGCCACGCTCAAAGTGGTGGTAGAAAATTTGGTTCACTTGGGATCTGAACCATTCTTTTGCCCACTCCCTGCATAGAGAAGATTCACTTTGACACTTCAGCTGCAAGGCTTTTGTCTTTGGCAGCACGATACTCTCCAAAATTTGGAGTGTTTCCTCTGTTTCCAGACAATTCTATGTGCAAGTAAACATACCCCTGCACTTTTATTTTGTGTCAAGACTTGGTTGTCAGATCTGGTCCATTCATTTCCTCTCACTCTTGTAGCCCTCTTTCTGCACCTATAGAAAATTACTGGGGACTGTCTGCCCTTTGTTGGAAAGCTTTACCCTGAGTCTGATCTTTTCCCTCTGTCATTTATCCACATAAAATGACTTAATGAACAAACTGTCTTCACCCTGAAGCAGTTTAGTTTAACAACAATAACAGCAACAATAATGTTTTCCTGAGCTTCTGTCCTTCAAAGTCTTCCTTGAATGTGGAGGTTGAAGAGTCTGTTCTTCTACCTGTGAAAGCTGAAATGTCTGGAATCTCTTCATTTCCCTCCACTTATTTTGGAAAATGCGGTAAGTCCTTTGTGAGCTGAACTTGTTCTTGAAATACTCTTCTAGCTGAAGCCAGTGATGGTCCAAAGTGTTATGTTCTTACCTCTTCTCTTAGGGCTACAAGTCCATTAAGGTCTGCCTCCTGAGGTGGATGCTTTACCAATTATGTAGGCACTGTATAAGATAGAGCATCATATTTCTGAGAAACATGAATTTCCTCACTGCTTCCCACCACTAAACCAAGGTTATGTATATTAGGGTTTTGCTGAAGCAAAGTCCTACCTTGGGTACCAATTTTTACCTTGTCGGGATAAGGGCATGCTATGGTCTGCTAACACGTCATTCCCAAGCCTCAAGGTCTTCAGTGCAAAAGCTTATCTTCTGCTCATACTAAATATTCACTGTGGGTTTGCATGAGGCACTGCTCCACATACAGACTCAAGCCAGTGGATGTACTGCCATCTTGTAGTCCAGTAAGATAATTATTATCTGAGACATTTAGCTGTCTTGGTTGCT